GAATTCTGATTTGCTCTGAACCATAAAAGCTTACTCTTGGATTTTGTCAGTTCTGAATAATAATTGTTGATAACTTCTGATCTCTTCAATTCTCTAAAGAGGAAAAAACTGATTCTAGAGCACCTGATAATCAACACCATTTTCCTTGCTTCTTCGCCCACCTTCCCTGACACTAACCCAGATTTTGAGGGTTGTTAATTGTGATTTTAAACAATCCTAGTAATTCTCTTGAAACAAACAAATAAGCAAGTCTGCAGGAATTTAAAATGAATACTAAAGTGGACCAGAGTTTAGAAAAGGACCAGTAGATAAATGCAGGATCATAGGAGATCTTGCCATTTTCCAGCTGGTCTAATAAAAGGTATCATTTTGGAACCAAAAGTTCTAGTTTTTTGTAGGATCATAGGAGATACTTTTATGAACTGCATCACCTCTGCACTTGTAGAGCTGTAACAACACATGCTCCTGACATAACATTGGGTGTTTTTTCACGCCAGTAATAGCTGAATGTGAACAAAGGGTGCTTGTACATGAGCAGCCAGACTGCTGACACTCTGATTACAGTGCATCAGAGCAGGCTCAATTAATTGTCAGAGAAGGTGGGTGAAGAAGCTTTCGAGCTTTAGGTAGAGCACCTCCACCACCATTTTTGAAGCATGGGCATGCTCACGCATGAGACATTCCAGGTGTTTTAATTGGAGTGACTCTCGGAGCAGCTCTAATTAAAGAGCCCCCCCCCCCCCACTCCCAGAGCACATGTATAAACGCCCAAAGATTGTGACCTCCACAGACTTATCCATTTAATCCTGTTCTGCTGATGTATAGAGAGATTAATGGAGTCTGCTGGAGCATGGTAATTACCACATTCCAGCAGCCTCCAGCATTTCGTGTATCAGTGTCCCCCATGCTTCAGAATGGTGGCAGGGGCGCTTTGTCTAAAGCTTGTTCATTTTTAACCACAATCAACAACCCACAAAACTTAGTATCAGAGAAGGTGAGCAAAGAAACTTTTGAGCTTTAGATAAAGCATCACTGCTGTTCTTTTGAATTGCAGGGACGCTGATGCATGAGATGCTCCACGTGCTTTAATTAGAGCAGCTCTTGGAGCTGCTCTAATTTAAATACTCACCTCCCCTCCCCCCACTCCCAGAGTACATTATGCTCATTCACAGAGCATAAATGCCCAAGGATTGTGACCTCCACACACACAACCTTTTAATCTTGTTCTGCTGATGTATAGAGACTAAATAGAATGTCATGACTAAGAATTAAGCCAGAATGAAAGGGGCTCTCCCTTGGTTCCATCTCTGGCCCTGTCACAGACCTGCTCAGTGACAAACAAGTCGTTTTCTATCCCTTTGCCTCAGTTTCCTACTCTACAATGCCAGGATAATATTACAGACCCGCTTATATAGCTCTTGAGGTATGAACAAACAGACATTTGACATTTAAGAAGGGAGGGGGGGCTGCTGCTCAGGAAGGTTCAGAAGTGGTTACGTTGCAACTCCATACATGTGAATAAGCCTGTAGTGATTCAAATGTAGCAAAACCACTCCAGCTTGAACCCTGCTTCACCCATGGTCAGAGCTGGAAGGAGTTTGGTCACTTGCATCATTACAGGCTCATCATGTGTAACAGAGCAGGGCAGCTGCTGCACACTCCTGAGCAATAGCAGCAGCTTCCCCTCCCTCTTTGAAGTTGTTACAAATATACATGTGTCCATACTTTTAAATAGACAGATTAAAAGTGCTGAATCAGAACTGGTTGGTGGCATTATGCCAGTCACTGACTACTTGAACAACCCAAATTGGAAGTCAGAGTCTTAATCCCTTAGTATTGTATCACAGAAATAAAGATGTGCAAGCTGACCAAAGTAAATCCAGCTGTGATATCAGCAAGTGCTCTCTGAAGTCCATTTGGAAGGCTCATCCCAGCCAGCTACAGTTTTTGAACGCAGAAGCTGTTTTTGAAAATAAACATCCACAAATACTTGGTTATTTAAAAATAAATATTTAGGTGCTCTAATATAGCTGGCTAACATTTTTTGTATGAACAATTTTTCCCACTGGAAATTGGGATTTTTTTTATTGGACCAACTATGTAGCTGAGATATAGACAAGCTTTCCAATGTCAGACCTTCTTCCTCAGCTGGGATCTGGGTTTTTCATTTCCTGTAGAAAAATGCAATTTTCCCCTTTAGCAAACGGCTCTCCACAGCCTGCAACAAACTGCTTGCAAAAAGAGTGTGAAATATTCCCTGTTCTTCCACTCCTGGCTTTCAAATAGCCTCCCAACTTTGCCCTACCTGTCATTAGAACAAACTCTCTGCTGCCCAGACATCAAGTAGAACACAGCTTTGTCTTTGCGAGAAATGCTTAACCTATCAGCAAGTTTTTGGTTGTAGCCGTGTTGGTCTAAGGACGTTGGCAGGCAAGGTTCTTTGGGTAGATGTGATATCTTTTATTAGACCAATTGAGTAGTTGGAAAAAAGTTCTTAACAAGCTTTTGGGTGCAGTCACCCTTCGTCAGGCATAGGAAGTCTCTGCTGGTCTGAGGCTCATTCCTTGGACTCATTAGCTTCTCTCATCTCTTGGAATCCTGGTGAGCACCCCTTTCTTCTCTGGACTCTCTCAAGCTTTTCCACATCCTTTTTGAATTGTGGGGCCCAAAACTGGATGCAGTACTCCAGCTGCGGCTTCACCAAGGCCGAGTACAACAGGAGAATGACGTCCTGGGATTTGCTTGAGAAGCACCTGTGGATGCAAGCCAGCATTTTGCTTGCTTTACTAGCTGCAGCATCACATTCGAGACTCATGTTCATCTTGTGGTCACTTGTGACCCCCAAGTCCCTTTCATCTGTAGTGCTAACCAGCGTAGCACTGCCGAGCTTATAAGGATGCTGCAGATTTTTCCTCCCAAGGTGGAGAAGCTTGCATTTTTTGGTGTTAAACACCATCAGGTTCTCATCTGCCCATTTCCTGAGCCTGTCAAGGTCAGCCTGGATCACCCTCCTGTCCTCAGGTGTGGATGCTTTACCCCAGAGTTTGGTGTCATCTGCAAACTTGGCCAGTCCGCTCCTGACACCAACGTCTACATCCTTGATGAAGATGTTAAATAGCATAGGCCCTAGGACAGAGCCTTAAGGGAACCCACTGGTCCTAGGGCACCACTATGATTGACTTCTGTCAGCCACGACCCTCTGGGTTCGACCACGTAGCCAATTCCCCAGCCAGCGGGTCGTGGTGAGGCCGAGGCTGCAGTTGGCCAGTTTTGCCAAAATGTGATCATGGGATACCAGATTGAAGGCTTTTTTGAAGTCAGTATATAAACATTAGATTTATGGCCCATGATGTTTACCCATCTCTACCCAAGGAAGGTGAAATTGACTGCAGCCCCCCTCCCCTACTCCCCTTGTCATAGACCTTGATCTCCCAGTACTCAGCTTCTTTTCTTTTTTTAATTGTCTGGTACACCTGAGAATTTCTCTGAGCCCCTCCCCTACACTGTGCTTAACTTGCTGTGCCTGGCTCTAGGGACCTAAAGAAGAATGTCTTGCTTTCAAAAATTTGTCTAACTTTATCCCAACTACAAACCTGGTCCAATAAAAGATATCACCCTAATAAATCCTTGCTCATCTTTTTAAAGAGAATGTTAATGTATTGTGAGAAGTGCCAGATTAATATCCTTTAAAAAATGAAATCTGTATCCACAGAATGTTTAAGGCACAGTCGGCATCAGTTCAAGCTTCCCCACAATGTCCTGCCAGTGTGCCTTACCACTACATTGGTGGGACTGCTTCAGGGATGATATTCATTTACTATTCCTGTTTCAGTTTTTAGACACCACACCCCCACCACCAAAACTACCTATCAGGATGCTAGTAGTGATGGTTGGTTTGTGTTACAAACTAAGGAATAGAATGAAAGCCAGATTAGGAACAGTATGTAGGCATACAAAATTTTATTTAGGCAGGATTTTGGCACCTCAGAGTGATCAATCCAGTAAACTCTGCCTTAACTGCTTAGGTACCTTAGAGTCTGAAGGCTTAAATTTTGGCCAGTAAAGCTGCGTGTGCCCCTACAGAGATTGCCAAATCAGGGATTTTGTGGCATGGGATTCATCATTGTCAAACAAGACAAGGCTCAAATATAGTAAGCTAGAGATGAAAAATGCCTATGGTATTTGATTACCAGTGTCTTCAACTGTCCATTTTATATAAACAATTACTGCTCTACTTTTAATAAAGTGTAAAACTGAATTTATTCTTCTGCAAAACATCCACTTAGTGCTTCAGGTCCCTCTTAAGACCAAGATTTTTGAGTAGTTGGCAATCCCCATATCTTCCTTCTCTGAATCTCAGCTCCTTGCTCTTTTGTTTTATTTTTGGTGTCTCTGTTGTATCATTTAAATTCTAGGTTCTTTTAAGCTGATCAAAATTTTATAGATAGCTGTGTAAATTACTGCACTATGTAAAAGTTTATTATAATTTAAGGGTTAATGTTTAACTTGTAAAGCTGTAAAAATACGTTAATCATTTTGAATGGGTGTATCTTGTAGAGGTGCACCAATATATCGGTTGCATATTGCAGAGGTTCCCAACCACTGAGCCACAAAGGGCTGGCTGCCAGGTTGCAGCACAAGCCTCCACTCGGACCTCCATCCGTCCGTCTGGGCGAGCGGCTTCCATCACCAGCAGTGACGTGCAGGGTTAAAGCTGGGCTTGCAACTACCCTCACACCACTTGGCTCTGCTCCACTTAAAAGCATCCCTGCTCTTAAAAATGGTGGTGGTGGTGGTGCTTGAACTAAAGCTCATTTGCGCTTTAATTTAAGCACCGTCACAGCCATATTTAAGCTCCGGAACACTGAACCCCTAGACGAGCCACCCATGGCTCTGTCTTGATCTCTGCCCCGGCCCTGGGTTGCATTCACCCCCCTGGCTGGGCAGCTCCCCCAGCCCCTGTCCCACTCCCTCCCTCCCTCACTGTGGGGTCCTCAATTTCCCGCAACCCCTCCCCTCCCCGCCCCCCCCAATGCTCCTGCCCTTCCACAGACTTACCTGCAGGGCACTGTTTTTCACGCTGCCCTGTTAATTGGCTGCATTTCTGTAAATCGGTTATCGGATCAGTATCAGCCAATATGGCTGGTTAATATTTGGCTATTAGTATCGGCCAAGAAAATCTTTTATCAGTGCACCCCTTGCATCTTGTGCACCTCTACTGCTTGTGTCATGGAAAAAAAAGTTAAAATAACCCACATTTTAATCTGGGTTTAATTTTTTTTATTTTAATATAGCTGTTTGTGAATGAGGGGATTTATTTAATACTGAACTTGGCTATCAGCTATTCAAACTTTTGACAAAAACACTTGAGGAGGGACAAGTCGTTTCTATATATAGTCGACTATATAAAGTCGTTTCACAGTATACAATTTTACACGTTATGTAACTTACAATTTAAATACTGTATTACAGTGATTCTGGACGTGGGAGCAGTTTGTTAGACAGAGCTATTGCTGATAGACGACAGCTTAATACTATTACCTTACCAGACTTCAGTGACCCTGAAACAGGTGAGAATTGACATCTTAAATAATAAGGTGGAAAAAATAAGTGGCCTAGTATGCTTAGTTGGGGTTTATAAGATAAAAAGATTAAAGCAGCTAGAGTAAGATGGGAATGTATTCAGCCTTTTATATATTTAAAAATATCCATTTTGAAGTTTTGAGAAGATATTTGCAATGTACATTCTATTTTTATTTTGTTTTTTCAAAATGACCCTTGCCTCTTGGTGTATTTGTATTCATAAAATATTTAGAGATGATCTTTCTGTATTATCCATAAATATTAACATGTGAGCTCAATGTTGGCATGCTGGTCTATTCTGTTCTGTCTATCTAAAGTCTTATACTTCGCTTATCCTATTGTTATTTAAGCATCTTGGAGTATTTTTTTTCTCTTCTTAATATTTAAAAAGCAAATTAGGAAAACAAAGAGAACTGCCTTTTGTGTCCCTAAAATGCAAGAACATTTTAGTAGCCTTTTGGCCCTCTTTATTATTAGAAAACAGTATTAATTTGGCTGGCTGATTCATAATGCAAGTGAATAGCTATTGACATCTTAAGAAAAGTAAATATTTTACAAGTTGAATAAGGAACTTTTCCTTACTGACATATGAAATGTTGTACAGATTCAGTAGGTAAAATTTAAGGTATCGTAACATGTCAGTGGGTGCATCTACATGTGCACTTTAATGCGGAGCTGACTGGTTAGCTCCACAGTAAAGTGTTGCTGTCTACATGTGCACATGTATTAGGGTGCAGTAAATTAACTCTGAGTACTATCCTATGATGAAGTCATTTAGTGCACCAAAATGTACATGTAGACAGTGACCAGTGCTGGCTGGGGCACAAAGGTACTATAGTGTGGGGGCTGGCTGCCAGCTAGCTCCATATTATAGCACCTTTGTGCCCTAGCTAGCCCCTTTTGCTGCCACCACCAAGAGCCTGGGGCTGCTCCGCCCTGACTTAAACACATGTGACCCTGAACCCAGGAGCAGCTGATTCTGGTGCAAAATGCTCAAGAGTTTATTGCTGTGTGCTAACTGCACATGTAGATGCACCAAGTATATATTTACATGGCATAATTAGTCTATTATCATATATTCACCTGTCATAATATAAATAAATACTATATTTACGTGACTATAAGATGACCCCCAATAATTAGATTCTATATACGGAAAATTATATAAACTTGTTGTAATTTTCCAGGAATAGAGTCCAAGTATTGGAGGGTATCTTGAATTCCCCACCTTCCCCAAATGTTACAGCAGGGAAAGCAATGGCTAGAGGGGGGAGGGGGTGTCAGGTGCCCTCTGCCCCCACCCACTTCTTCCCTCTGGAGCCTTCCTGATCCCCCTCATCTGTCTCTCCCTACCCCAGCTCCCCACAGCCTCTGTGCCCCCCCCCCCCACCTGTCTCGGCCTCCCTTTCAACCCCGGCCCCCTGCAAGTAAGGGTGAGCAGGGAAGCAGAAGCTGGGGGGGTGGGGAGGAAGCGGAAGCAGAAGCAGTGCTGCAGAGGGAGGGCAGGAGGCTGCTGAGGGTCTGACTCTGGCCCTGACCTGGGCTCAGGGCCAGAGTCAGAACCTCAGCAGCCACCTGCTCCCCACCTTGGCTTTGTATGCAGGAGCTTTATTCCCCATGCTGATTGTGGGGGGCCTGAGGGTGACACACCACCTCTTATATTTGAGTAAATACGGTATGCCTGAAAGGAGTACAAACAAAAAGGTACCAGGCCAGAGTGACTCTGATGCAAGTTGCGAGAAACTTGTGTAAAGAGAATGAAAAGTAACTTTTAGTTTCTGTGTCTTTCACAAAAGGCTTACTCTCCTGTGTTCCACTTTTTTAAGTGCATGGAGGTTTTTTTTCTTAACTGTTTCCTTGCTTTATAGATTTTATGTCAAACCTCTGCATACTTTTCATGTGGTCTTTGAGACATGCATTTCTGTTTAGTCAGGCTTCAATGAAAAATGCCTTTTGGAAAGGTTTGTCATCCTGTAGATTTGAACCTATGAAGCTAAGAATAATTGGAACATGATTTACATCTTTGTATAATATCAGATTTGTACAGTAGCAGGAGATTTACGTTTTTATTTTGTTTCTGAAATCTTCATGTTGAACCAAAATTTACAGTTGATGTTTAATGATATACACACATTCGCTAAAAGGTCACATTTGTTGTTGTTGTAGCAAGTATTCAGTTATAAATACCTGAATCATGCAGTCTGTCTTATAGCATAGCAACAATGGAGTCTGTTAGTCACATAGTGGACTTTTTTGGTTACATATTTGTGTGTGTAGCTGCAGTTGGAGGAAAAAAACTCCTTAACTTAGAAACATGTAGTTTGGCTTGTGGTCATTCCACATTCTGTTGTATGTCACTGCTTTTGTCTTAGCAAAGAAATACAAAGGATGAGCTTGAAACTTTAAAATCTATGTATGTATTTACACAAAGAAACATGTAATTCAAAATCATGGGAACTTCTCAAGAAATTTGCATAGAGATCTGAACTTCTGAAATGAAGATTTTGACTACCGGGAGTTACAACTGGAGCCCAATATATTTGAGCTTCTTGGGAGATTCCAAATTTTGTCATCTTATGAAACTGAACATTTGTCTTGGGGGTTCCTTCTTATATCAAATTGACCTGCGAAGACAGGAAAATTGATGTTTTATTTTCAGTTTCTATATGAGGAATAAAGGAAGTTTTGAAAGGTAACTTTTGAAAGCTTTAGGCATTGTTCGTATTCATTATAATTAGGTTGGCAAGATTCAGTTTTTATCAGTAAACATTGACAAATGTCTGTTTCACCTCACACTTGTAGACTGACAAAAAAAAGTATTTTGTTAATAATCAAAATGTATAGAAATGGGACATAAGAAAAATGATGGCTGATGGAGTGTATGATGACAGGGGCAGAACTCCTACAGAACTGTGCGGACTGTAGTTTGGACTGCAACTCCCAGAAACCTCAGGGGACTGGTAACAAAGGAAGAGGAAGTGACAAAGTGGATGAGAGAGCTACCTGTGAGCAGAGTCAGGACTGATGGCAGCTTTGCCACTGAGCTGGAAGCAGTCCTACAGTAATTATGTTTGTCATGGCAGCGGATTGAACTGCACTATAGTAATAGTATGCTGTCATTAATAAATTGCCTGCCCCCCACACCCCTTATCTCATGTAATCCTGAAAAAGCATTATTTTTAAGCATTTATTTATCTTCTGTCAAAATTATTAAAAAATAATCGAATTCTGCCAAACCTAATTACAATAGTGTAGTTGCACCCTAAGACTCCAAGAGAGGGATCCTGCCCCAAAGAGTCTTATTTAAAAATTCAGGTTTTGTCCTGCCGCCTTTATCTGAAGACAGCATAAACCATTGGAAATTAGAAACTTAAAATTACATCAGCACAAAGACAATGAAACTTGATATGTTGATTTGGGGCGGGGTAGAAGTTTGTTTGAAAACTTCTCTTGTATCAGGTGCCACCTAACTCAAGTGCCCAGAAACATTTGTAACAAGGTTGGTACTAATAGAAGGGCAGGGGAGTTTGAAACTTTATAGACCAAGTTTCTGCTCCTGTTCAGTGGGTCCATATGGAACAACAGACTGCACTTTTGCATCTTTTGCAGACAGTGTTCAGCCATTTCTTTTTATTGTCAGGAAAAAGAGCAGGGGATTTAAATGCAAACCTTTCTCCTTTTGCAACTTGTCTTTTATGGTGATACATTCTCTCCCTCCCCCCATAGGGCAGAATAGTATACCTAGCTTCTGCAGATCTGGGGAGGAACAATTTAACCCCCTCCCCACAGGAGTCTTTGCCAAAGCACAGCCCAACCCCATGCCCCACAGTATATCTGTGAGGGAGGGGATGAACAAGGTGAGTGGACCGCTGCCTTCCTCCCTCCCCCAGGAGGATTTGGCATGGGAGGCACAGCCCTGTGCCCAGAAGTGTATCTTTGTGGGAAGGGGTGGGAATGGGACATCAGGAGGAGGCCCCAGGGAACCTGCACCATGGGCGTCTGCATTAGAGTCCAGCAAGCCTGTTCCTTAGGCCCCTGGTGGATGTACAAGTAAAGATACGATAGGATATGACATGCAGTTTGAACAACTGTGCTTCCTCCCATGCTGCATGTTCATGGCAGGAGGTGTGATGGATCGTGCATCAGTTGCCATCACACCTTGTTGCAGGCGTAGAGGGAGCCTGGGATCATGATCTCAAACTCCCCTGCACTAGCAAGTAACAAGCTCCTGCAGCTGTGAGCTCTATCAGCTGATGGATCTCCTGGGTGCCAGGGCACATCATGTGCCCCTGCATGTGGGAGCCATCAGCTGATCCAAGCTCCTGGCTGCCAGCAGACACCAATCTGGCCATAGCCTGGCTACACATTCAATTAATGGCATAATAGGAAACAGGCACAAAGCTGCTACACTTTTATCATAAAAGAACAACTTTGAGCATTTATACACATGCTCTGGTAGTAGGGGGGGAGGGGCAGGGCTTTAATTACAGTGGCTCTGAGAACTTCTGTAATTAAAGGGCCCAGAAAGCCATGTGTATCAGCGTCCCCACACTGAAAAATGGTGGTGGGAGTGCTTTAACAAAAAGTTTGTTGATTGAGCTTTAGTTAAAGCACCACTGCCACCATTTTTCAGTGCAGGGACAAGGATACATGTGACTCTGGAGTCTGCTGAAGCACAATAATTACCACTTGGGGTAATTACCATGTTGGTGCAGCCTCCCTGCATGTGTACAGGCACCCTTTGTGGTTTATTTCCTGTTTTATCAGGCCATTAATTGCATAATGTCTCTCTCCACATCTCTGCCTTGGGTATTGGAAGAGCTCACTGTGCCTTTGAACCAGAGCTCTTGTTCACACATGGGCTTGTTCCACTGAACTGAATGCTTGCTTTGTTGGTCTCGTTTTAACTTGAATTAGTTGAGTTAAATTGAGTTTTTTTTTCAGTTTGAGTGTCATCACTTTAGAATAAGCTATTGTCTTACCAACTTAAACATAAATAAGCCACTCTTAAAACAACCTTGTATGTTGAGTCTTGTATTAATATAACAAAATACTTTTGAGCTAAATGGATAACTTCCAAATGTAGACAAAAAACAGAATAACCCCCTCTCCCTTTGATTAGAACATTAGTTCTCCTTTACATAATTATCCACGTACGCATTCACACTGATGGATGTGCACCCTGCAATTTGACCAGAGACTTTTTTTTTTGCCTTGGCAGTATCCATAGAGTGTAGTTTAATCCCACCTCTTCTCATGCCCCTATGTTGAGGGGATAGAAGATGGTGTGTGCTGCCTGTTCATCAGTTCTCCTTGTTCCCTGGCTAGACATGGAGCATTTTTTTGCAGTTCCAATAGCCTTTGAGCCTCAAATAAGCCAAAGCTCTCACTTTTTCTTTTTTCTTTTTCAAAGCATCTTTTCTGGGGGAAATTTTTTTTTTCCAAGCCAGGAAGAGGGCTGAGAGTTGCATATTAACTTTGACCTTTGTTTAGAAGCAGCCCAAAGCCTTCAAGCTTTTAATTGATGTTAAATAGCGCCTGCTTGGCCCCCACCTACATTTTTGACTCCACCACAGATAATGGGCTGTCTGTGGTCTCCCACTCTAGCTTAGCTGAACCATTCCAGTCTTTGTTTGGTAGGTGGCCTTACACAGACCTGCTTAATCTCATAGGTCTCTGGCAGAGCAAAAAGAGAGGGGCAAGAAATGTGCGTTACCTTTTTATCTCCTAGGCTTGAGGGTAACTTTATAATTGTATTTATAGTATACATGTATTTATCATTGGATGCTTGCCAAAGAATATATTTCATTTAATATTAGTGGTGCATATCTGTGTTTGTCAGTCATCCAGTGATAAATATATGCATGAATACACAGTTGTTATATCCCTACAGGGACAACTTCTGATACCTCTCACAGGTAAGTGTCTCGGGGGG